AAGCCTAAAGTCTCGCAAACTTAGACTCTCTCAGAAGAACTGCTAAAGCCTCTGTGTCAAAGTCTTGCCAAATCAGACTCTCTCAGAAGAACTTCGAGGCTCCTCCGTAACCCGGCAACCAACCAATCACCACCGAGGGCTCTCCCAAAAGGACGTCATCCAGACGTCATCTCAGCAACCAATCCGAAGCTCCGGGACTCCCTCAGGCAACGAGGAAAACCCCTCCGCTTTTCAGCACAAACGCAAGTAACAAACAAAAGTCTCCTATCTGCTGAAATCGGTGCTGAATTGATCTTAAGTAGTAAACGTAAGACAAGTCTCTGCTTTGTGATTTTCTCTGGTTCACTTCGAATCTTCAGATTCGATTCCTTTCAGAACCTGAGCTAAAATAATAATAATTAATTCCCTTACAAAATATACTTTGATTACAGATGGTGGAGAAAGAAAGCTGGCAAATTTGACTTATAATTCATAACACCAAGACATTATTGTGAATCTTTTCTAGTTTTATCCGGAAGAATAGATTAGATACAGAGAAACAGAGTTGTTGTGTTACTGGATAATTTATTGTGGCATTGTGTTGAATGAATGTAGTGAAACTCGAGTTGTGTTTAAAGAAATTAACCGCAGTAAAACATAAAAATTTTGTCTGTCGGGACAAAATAAGTCACTCTAGAAAAGCGCACGAAGAAAGAAACGAGCGTGTTCCTCATTTTCTTCTCTCTTAAAAGGCCTTCATAGTTCGATTTGTTGGTGCGTGTTCCACTCCCAAATTCGTCTATGCTATTAAATCTCCCGGCTTGAGCTATTAACTTAGCTAATTAATGCTCTTGCCATTTAATTCACTAAAACTAGTGAACTTGAAAACGCGGTGCTCAGAGAGTATCCGAATGCTATTTTTTTTGGGAGAATTGTGAAATCTTGATCAAGTAAGAATTTATCAAAAAGTGTTTTTGTCTGTATAAATATGTGCTGATATCCGCCGAGATGTGTTTTAGCTTAGTTTAATGTAATCTAGAATAGCCAATAAATTCTTGTTTAATTTATAAAGAAGTATTGTCTTGTGTCGTACATTTTTAAAGTTAAAACTCTGCCTAGATCACGCTACCTAGCTCGTAGCTTATAACTTATCAAAAGCATGTATTAACCCGTGGCCAGGGAAAATACAAATATTCAAATTGTTAATATACACGGACGTTAACGTCTCGCTGGACGAGTCGTTGATACAGTGTAAACTATCAAATTTGAAATCAGTTCTAATCAGGTCTTTTGAATAATTAATTTCATTATAAAATTCAATGAGTTAAATTCCTTACATATGGTGGATAATGCGGGCAATGATTTGGCTTTAAAAAATTAATGACACCAAGATATTATTGTGAATCTTTCCTATTTTTATCCAGAAGAATAGATTAGATACAGAGACCACTCGAACGAGTCGAGTGAGTGGTCAGCGCTATAAAGATAAGTCTAAAGAGTGCTTTTTGGTTGTTCAGTGTGAAAGGCGCCGCCATTTCACATGAAGGGCGTAAACTGTGTATAACCATCGACTGTGTGTAGCACATGCTAGTTATTGCAGGGTACGTTGCCATAGTAACAGCCGTAACCCGGAAGTTCTAAGAAACCTTTTCCAGGGTAACTTTGAAGAGCGCAAGCGCAGTCCGCCAGCGCCATTTTTGAGCTGTTTGTAAACAAATAGCCAAGCATGAGCTAAGCTAACTGAAGCTAATGAGTTTGCATTGAAGCCTATGCAGAGCTATTAGCATTGAAGACTTGCGGTTAGCACGTACCATTTTGTAGTCTTAAATGCAGAGTGTTTTGCAGTGTTTGAAGTGTTGAATTGACTTGATCAGTTACATCTGAACTTTATCTTTAACTCTTTCATACTGATTTCATCCTATCTCTCTCTTCCTCTCCTCCCAATGAAAAGAACAGACAGATGCAAACTTTATAAACCATATTGTAACGCGATTTTAACCAACCGTCAGGTTAGCGATCTCACAATTGGTTATAATCACATTTGTTTAAAGGTTTGTCCTCTTCCCTTCAGCTTGTTTACTCTTAGCAGTTTAAATGGCCATAGCTGTTGTTGTTTCGTTTTGAAAATTGATCCTGGTCATGTGATTAATTCAGCTATAACTGCTCTTATAATATGAATGACATCCGTAGATATTACGAATTTAAGTAATTATGGATTTGAAATTTTAATTTCATTTCATAATTAATTACAGATTTGGAATTTTAATTTCATTTAAAAAATTAATTTCAGTTCTTGCTTTCACATAGCAACAATATCTGCTGATTAATTTAATTATAAATTGCTCTTATAATCTAATGACAACAACATTAGAATTTTTAATCATTAACTATCAATAGGGCTCTGAAATTTT